AAAGCTGGAAGCTGAACGTGAATAACTGTGATGCAGCACTCAGGAGGCAGAGGCAGAATTTAAGTATGTCTCCTAGTTACAGGGGAAATTCAAGGCCAGTTGTGGCTACACGAGACTTCACCACCAGAGAGAGCACCCATGGGGACCAGAGTACTGGGGAGGTGGAAACAAGCCAGCCTTGAGGCAGTTGACCTCTGCCCTCCACATACACAACACACATGGGCACACACACAAACCAGTATAGTTCATGCAGCTCACCACAACCTGTATCTCTAGTTCCAGAGGATCAGATATGACTCTTTTTACTTCTGGAAATATCAGTCATGCACATGGCACATAGATACACATGCAGGAAAAATACCAATACATATAAAATTAAATAAATTCATTTTGGGTAGCAATTTAGTTTCATAGTTATGCTAGCCAACAGTAAATGTTTTTCAATCATATGTATAATCAACAAAGAGATTATATGAAGCTTGGCAGTGGTGGCACACACCTTTAATCTCAGCACTTGGGAGGCAGAGGCAGGTGGATCTCCATGAGTTTGAGGATAGCTTGGTCTACAGAGCAAGTTCCAGGAGAGACTCCAAAAGTTACATAGAGAAACTGTGTCTCAAAAAAAAAAAAAGTATGAATCCATATAAAGACCTTTCAGACTATGGGGACGACATGATGGCTCAAAGTAAAAGCACTTGCCATGCGAGCAAGGATCTGAGTTCAATCCCAGAACCTGCATAAAGATGGAAGGAGAGAGAGAGAACCGAGTCCACAAAGTTGTCCTCTGACCTCCACACACATGACATAGCATGCATACCCATCCACATGAATCATGAACACAAACATACACAATCAATTTAAGTTAAAACTTAAATCACAGACAGGTTCGTATAGTCATTTAAACATTATAACCTGAAAAAAATCATCATTAAACATTCAAAAAATAACAAATAAAATAGGAACATAAGGGCAAACCAACAAATAGGATAAAGCAAAGTCCAGTTGGCAGAAAATTGAAGATTCTAGCCCAGTGGTAGTGGTACACATCTTTAGTCCCAGCACTTGGGAGGCAGAGGCAGGAGGGTCTCTGTGAGTTCAAGGCCAGCCAGGACAGTCAAGATTACACAGGGAAACCAGTGTGTGTGTGTGTGTGTGTGTGTGTGTGTGTGTGTGTGTGTGTGGTCCAGTAGCTCCTGACAACATTTCCCCCACTCCTTCACCACTCAGCTCGGGAAAGGTAGAAGCCAGTGAGCCCAGCCTTTACATTTTCCACAAGTCTTTGACAAGATGCAGGTTAGACCAAGTAACAAACAGCAGCAGAATTCCAAGAGCCAGACAGGCTTTGTTTGCACTTCTACCATAATCTCCTGTGTTCGCAGGCTCGCCCTGTGCCCCTTGATAAATTAGCTTGGTAACCAAGTCGGGAGCAGCCTGGGAGATCTACCCGTGGAAAGAACCTAGAGGACGCCCAGCCCCACAGCCCAGGGCTCTGCTGGAAGAATTCCAAGTCTACTTTTCACAGCAGGCTTCTTTTTCTCTTTGGAGTCTTTGAGAATCTGTTAAGATTTATGGACCCAAAATAACAAATCACACACAAACGTTCTGAATACTTATCTCAGGGTTTGGTTTGGAGGTTCCCTGTTAACACACGGCGCCTCCTCTTCTGATTGTGATGCCTCCACACCCTGTGTTCTTATCAGAGCTCTGCAACACTATTAGACTTCAAGTCAACTCAAGACGCCGAGAATGGCAGAGTATATGTCGAAGAAAGTCTTGCCTATAGCGCTCATCCTGGGTGCATTTTTATAGATCTCATCTATAACTTTCTTGGGACATTTTAAAAACCACTCCATAGTATATTTTTATTGTTAATAGGTAAGACATTATTAAAACAGAAAAAGCAGGAACAAAGGGGCAACCATAGAAATGAAAAAGTGTTTAAAATTCCGTGTTAAAGAAAGCAAGCCTGTAACATTACAAGTCACCCATAACGGAGGCATTTCTCGGAGGCAGTGTTTCTGCCATTCACGCTGCTCCTTAGAACGGATGGCAAACACACAGAACAGCAAAGCAAACTGAGCCCTGGGATCCAAATGTCAGTACCAGCAAAACTTCTGGTTGGTTCTCTTCTGCTGAGTTATAATAAAGTAATGAGAATTTTTTTTTTTTTTTTGGTTTTTCGAGACAGGGTTTCTCTGTGGCTTTGGAGCCTGTCCTGGAACTAGCTCTGTAGACCAGGCTGGTCTCGAACTCGCAGAGATCCGCCAGCCTCTGCCTCCNATTGCCTGCTCTTCCAAAGGTTCTGAGTTCAATTCCCAGCAACCACATGGTGGCTCACAACCATCTGTAATGAGGTCTGGTGCCCTCTTCTGGCTTACAGACATACACACAGACAGAATATTGTATACATAATAAATAAATAAAGTGCTGGGGTTACAGGCATGCACTCCTCCATGCTCAGCCTGTTTTGTGTTTAAAAGGTGTCGGGACGGAACTCAGGGTCTTCGGCATGCTAAAACCCACACACCCCTGTTAAGCTGTACCTCCCAACCTCCTCCCATGGAGTTCTGATTTATTTTTCTCTTCCCACTATTGTGGGATATTTGCACGCAGTGTGAAGATGTATAGAATCCATCTATATTCAGCAGAAACCACTTTTTGACCTGGAAATTGGCTCTTTTCAATAAATGATGTGAAATAGTCTACTACTATTTTGTGAAACTGGGTTTATTATTTTAAAATGTTTTCCCAAACATATGCTAATGTAACTATGTTTAGGGGAGGCTAAACAAATATTTATTTCACTATATTTAACTATATTTAACAGGGTTAAACACATTTGCAACTGTTCACAATTTTTATGAAACGAATTGTTGTATCAAGCAACAGACTGCTGAACTGACCAGACAATTCTCAAAAGAAAGATAAACGGCCAATGAGAACTTGAATAGTTCAACTTCCTTAACTTCAGGAAAATGCAAATTAAGGCAGCCTTGAGACCGGGCTCTCCCCAGGCAGAAGGAGCGAATGTCACAAAGGGCCAGGGAAGACGGACCTCTGTTCTCTACTGTGAGAGTGCCAACTTGTGCGTCCCCCGTGGAAATCAGTGCGGGGTTCCTCAAACCACTGAAAACAGAATTCCCGTTCAACCACTACGCCATTCATGCGTATATACACAAAAGCCTTTGGGTCAACGTACCCTAGAGTTCCTTGCACATGTTTCTAGCAGCGTGTTCCCAATAACCAGGAACTGGAGCCAGCCTGGATGCCCACCAACAGAGGAACGCAGTATGGATACACAGGGAAATGTTTTTCAACAGTTTGTGCGTATGTGTGACATATGCAGGAAAAAGAATACAACTGAGTGTTGCTGTTAAGTGAAATAAGGCAAATTCAAAAGACGGAGACCATATGGTCTCTGATATGCAGATCCTAGATTTAAAATGGTATGTATGGGACTGAGAGATGACTCGCTGGTTAAGAGCAATTTCTGCTCTTTTATGGGACCTGAGTTCAGTTTCCAGCACCCACATAGAGTAACTCACAAGCAACCCATTACTCCAGTTCCAGGGGATCCAGTGTCCTTTTTTGGCCTCCCCTGACACACACACACACACACACACAGAGAGAGAGAGAGAGAGAGAGAGAGAGAGAGAGAGAGAGAGAGAGAATCTGGATCTATAGGTATAGCTCAGTTGGTGGAGTGCTAACCTCGCATACACAAGGCCCTGGGTTCGAGTCTCAGCACCTTGGTGGGGCACACCAGTAATCCCAGCACTGAGGCAGGGCGGTCAGAAGTTCAAGGTCATCCTCCACAGCTAAGTAATGAGTGTGAAGGTAATCTAGAGTACTAAGAGCCTGTGAAGAAACAGTGGGAGAAACAGAGTGAGAAGAGGGAAAGATGGGGGAGGGAGAGCAGTGGGAAAAGAGAGGGGAGAAGGGGAATGAAGAGAGGCGGGAAGGGAGGGGGAGGGGGGCAAAACCACACCCATTCGTGTAAAAGGAACTGGTTCCGTAAAGGAGCGAAGACAGGATGGAGGCCCAGTGCCTAAGAACCTGAAACTGCCCACTGTGGACATTCTAGGAGGGTGTGGAGGGAGGGACACCCAGGACCAGATTCTCTAGGGTCGTACACATCACTTTATCTAACTTATCTCCAAGTGACTTCTTCATCCCCCAGCTTCCAGCGCTGTAGCAACTAAAAGCAATGCCTAACTGCTGTTTTTCTACCCCAGGAAAGTGGGTCAACTGAGTTCCAAGAATGTTAGTTCTGGTTATCGGAGTTTTAAGAATTTTAAACCTTCCCAAGGAAACCCATGGGCTGTTTTTAGCAAAAATGGTTCACAAAACAAAGCAAAAACCACAAACAGTCTGTTTTTTTCCTAAAATTGTCTTCTTGAAAAAATACCCACTGACAGCTGAGTCAGTAGCCTGAAACGCAACATGCGTATCAATTTGATCATAATACAAATATCAAAGATGTCTACATTTTCGCGCCTAAGCTTATGGCACTTGAGAAGCATGCGGTGATCTAGTTCTCTCACCAGCACACACGAACCAGAAAGACGTCCTTTTGACTCTACCTGGAACCCACTGTGCAAGTTCAACCCATACACAAATTGTCCGACAAGTTGAACTGGGCTAGTACCCGGAAAACCGCAAAAGCCAGAAATGATAAACAGAAAGTACTTCGTTGTCTAAAACACAAGCACTCAGGGCGATAATGAAAGAGTGTTCGCAGAGAGATGGGAAAGGAGGTTTCGGTGGCTGAGGGAGAGGAGCTACCGCGGGGCTACGGGAAGGAGGCAGACGGACTACAACGCCCCCTTCCTTAGTGGAAAGGGAAGGAACTGGGGTGTGGAAACGGCGGCTTCCCGTACGAGGAGTCCGAGCAGCGGCGGCCTCGAGCCCACAGCTCCCCAGCCCACAGGTCCCCCGCCCTGACCCTGGCCCGACCCCCGACCCTGCGCCCGCTCCTCCGCCGCCGCCGCTGGCCTCACCAGCTGCAAGCCTTTGAGAATGCGCCGAGGCCACGGGAGCCGGCCCAGGAAGAAGTAGGCGGCCAGGCCGCTGCGCGCACCCCGGCCCGCGCCCGGGGCCGCCTCGGTGGTGGGACTGTACACCGCTCCGTTCTCCATCGCCGCTAAAGTCGCTCGCCCAGCTAAAGTCGCTCGCCCAGCAAAAGTCACCGCGCGCAGCAGGGGGCGTCACTTCCTGAGACTCCGCCCCCGCTTCCGGTCAGCTCCGCCTTCGTCACGCCCACTCGCTCGCCGCGCCCCGGCCCGTAGAAAGTCCCTTGGTTCGCCACGCCCCTTGCCACGCCTCCCAGCTTCGCCGCACCCCCAGTTCGCCACGCCCCCTCCACCTTTCCGGCTCTCCTGTTAACTCTTGAAATGCTGGTAATTGAGTTCCATGCTTGCTGTGGACTTTTCTTTTTCTGTGGCTTTTTCTTTTTTTGGTTTGGGGGGTGGGTTTTTTTTTTATTACATTTGTTTTTTAACCTATCTAGGGGCACTCTGTGGAGGTCGGGAAACTATTCGGGGTGTCGGTTCTATCCCTTCGTGTGGGTCCCGAGAACTGAGTCATCTTTAGGAGTGGCGGCTGGTGTCTTTACCCACGGAGCCATCACTCCGCCCAGGCTTTAAGTTTGGTTTCGATCTGATTTTTTTTTTTTTTTTTGAACAAGATCTCACCACCCAGACTAGCCTAGAACACAGTAGTAGCTCCTGGAATTAGTGCCAATCATCCAGCCTTGATCTCTAAAGTGCTGGGGTGGGGCTGGAGAGATGGCTCAGTGGTTAAGAGCATTGCCTGCTCTTCCAAAGGTTCTGAGTTCAATTCCCAGCAACCACATGGTGGCTCACAACCATCTGTAATGAGGTCTGGTGCCCTCTTCTGGCTTACAGACATACACACAGACAGAATATTGTATACATAATAAATAAATAAAGTGCTGGGGTTACAGGCATGCACTCCTCCATGCTCAGCCTGTTTTGTGTTTAAAAGGTGTCGGGACGGAACTCAGGGTCTTCGGCATGCTAAAACCCACACACCCCTGTTAAGCTGTACCTCCCAACCTCCTCCCATGGAGTTCTGATTTATTTTTCTCTTCCCACTATTGTGGGATATTTGCACGCAGTGTGAAGATGTATAGAATCCATCTATATTCAGCAGAAACCACTTTTTGACCTGGAAATTGGCTCTTTTCAATAAATGATGTGAAATAGTCTACTACTATTTTGTGAAACTGGGTTTATTATTTTAAAATGTTTTCCCAAACATATGCTAATGTAACTATGTTTAGGGGAGGCTAAACAAATATTTATTTCACTATATTTAACTATATTTAACAGGGTTAAACACATTTGCAACTGTTCACAATTTTTATGAAACGAATTGTTGTATCAAGCAACAGACTGCTGAACTGACCAGACAATTCTCAAAAGAAAGATAAACGGCCAATGAGAACTTGAATAGTTCAACTTCCTTAACTTCAGGAAAATGCAAATTAAGGCAGCCTTGAGACCGGGCTCTCCCCAGGCAGAAGGAGCGAATGTCACAAAGGGCCAGGGAAGACGGACCTCTGTTCTCTACTGTGAGAGTGCCAACTTGTGCGTCCCCCGTGGAAATCAGTGCGGGGTTCCTCAAACCACTGAAAACAGAATTCCCGTTCAACCACTACGCCATTCATGCGTATATACACAAAAGCCTTTGGGTCAACGTACCCTAGAGTTCCTTGCACATGTTTCTAGCAGCGTGTTCCCAATAACCAGGAACTGGAGCCAGCCTGGATGCCCACCAACAGAGGAACGCAGTATGGATACACAGGGAAATGTTTTTCAACAGTTTGTGCGTATGTGTGACATATGCAGGAAAAAGAATACAACTGAGTGTTGCTGTTAAGTGAAATAAGGCAAATTCAAAAGACGGAGACCATATGGTCTCTGATATGCAGATCCTAGATTTAAAATGGTATGTATGGGACTGAGAGATGACTCGCTGGTTAAGAGCAATTTCTGCTCTTTTATGGGACCTGAGTTCAGTTTCCAGCACCCACATAGAGTAACTCACAAGCAACCCATTACTCCAGTTCCAGGGGATCCAGTGTCCTTTTTTGGCCTCCCCTGACACACACACACACACACACACAGAGAGAGAGAGAGAGAGAGAGAGAGAGAGAGAGAGAGAGAGAGAGAGAGAGAGAG